GATAAAGTAAAAAACTAAAACAAACAACAAAAAATAACAAAAAGTTAAATGGACAAAAGACTTGAACAGAAATCGCCTCAAGGGAAATACTTAGGCAGTGCATAAGTGCATTAAAAGATGTCAGTATCCTTAATCTTTAAGAAATAGGAAACTGTTGGGCGGATCTCTGTGAGTTTGAGGCCAGCCTGGTCTACAAGAGCTAGTTCCAGGACAGCCTCCAAAGCCACAGAGAAACCCTGTCTCAAAAAACCAAAAAAAAAAAAAAAAAAAAAGAAAGAAAGAAAGAAAGAAAGAAAGAAAGAAAGAAAGAAAGAAAGAAAGAGGAAACTAGTGAGATCCACCACTAAAATCTAAAGAACTGCCACAGGACACAGAGGAAATTGTACTGACTGGATTATGAAATGTTGCAACCACCCTGGGAAAGGGTTAGTATTTTCTAATTTAAACATAAACCTATATTTAATGCAATCATCCCATTTCCTGGGTATTTACCCAAAAGAAAAAATCTGATGTTCACATGTAGATTTGTGCCCAAATGTTCATAACCTATCTATTTATTTAAGGTATTTTGCAGTCTCTTTTAGCTCAGGATGGTCTCAAACAAACCTGAGATGACCTTTGAACACTGACCCTACCCAGTTCTGGGTTAACAGCTATGCACTACCACACTTGGTTCTATAACAATTTTAATCTCAAACTGGAAACAATATAAATGACCAAAATACATGGAAGAATAAATAAATCATGGTAAATCATATGAGGAAATATTAGCACACAAAAATAAAGTATTAATATGTACGATATGAATGAATATCAATTATTTTAAGTAAAGGAAGACAGGGAAATGTACATTATATGATTTCTTTAAAAATGTATATACTATGGCTTTAAATAGTGCAGTCTGGCCAGGCCTGGTGACACTGCCTGTAGTCTAAGTACTCAGAAGGCTGAGACATTCACTCATGAAGATCATAAGTTCAAGGCAAGTCTGATCCACAAAATGAGATCCTGTATCCTAAAAAGATGCAGCCTATAATGCCAAATAAATCATGTTCAGATTGAGTATGGGAGGGGTGTGCCACGTGGGAGACTGAAGGAAGGGGCAAAGAAGTATAAAATGTCATGAGAACCGTTACTGACCACAGTGGGTTTTCATCTTGGAAAGACAAGCAAGCGTGGCCGAGACACACAAGCGTGAGACAGTCGTGTCCTGTGTGGCAGGCAAGGAGAGCACAGCAGCCATTCCCAAAGCAATGGCTCCTCAATAAAGGTGAGGTGGTGATTTCATTCAGGGAGCTGCCCATACATACTCATGTCTGAGCATGCTCAGTTGCAAGGTTAAGGAATACATTTCTGAGCATGCTTGGATTAGGGTCATAATTTTAGAAGGAAAAAATAGTAAACACACTTTTTAGTGTACTTAGCTCAGGGTGGTTTCCGGTTTGAGTGTTTGGGTTTTTTGTTTGTTTGATTTTAGCAGTCCAAGGAACTGAACCCGGGTCTTCTCACACGCCAGACAATGCTGTGCCTCTGAGCTACTTTTTACATTGAGTCAAAGTCTAAGGTGCACAGACTGGCCTGGAATCCACTTTAATTCTTCTTGAACATTCAATCCTCCTGCCTCAGTCTCGTAGCTGGTATCACAGTCTGCACCACCAGGCCTGGTGTTCACGCTGGCTTCCAAGGGTGGCAGTGTCTAGAAAGCCAGTACTGTAATTACTCCAAGTAAACAGCAGTTCAGGTACCGTAGTTCAACCAGAAGGAAGGAGCAATAACGATAACCCTCTTTCGTTAGCACAGGCAAGAAAATTGGCCAACGGCATGAACAAGAAAGTGGGACAGAAGAAATTAGCAAAGTCTTCTGTTATCAAAGAGCTAGAGCGGAGGTTCACAACCTTCCTCACACCTCGACCCTGTGACACAGTTCCTCATGCTGTGGTGATCCACTAACCATAAAAGTTATTTCATTGCTACTTCACAACTGTACTTTTAATACTATTTTGACTTGCAACATAAATATATTTGGAGACAGAGGTACACCAAGGAGGTCTCCACAGGTTGAAAACTACTGAATCAGCCTGTAGGTGAGGAGGCTTGAGGTCAGGGACATGTGTCCTGCAGCACCTTCCCAGACCACAAGGCAAAAACCAGAAGAAAGGTTAAGGGTTACTTAAGGAAACCAGAGCTTCAGGAGGCGGGACAGACAAGCTAGGAAAAGAAACTAGATGCCTCATGTCTGCCCACTGAGACATTTATGAATGAAAACTGCATTCTGTCCAGGATGACTTGAACCACGGGCATGAAACACACACACACACACACACACACACACACACACACACACACTGCTTCCTCAGACCAACAGAGAAGAAAGATTAATCTCCTTCTGTTATTATCACTTTAACTTTGAGTCGGCCCTGTGTGGCTTAAAACTTGGGATGGGTGTTGGAAACAGGAGCTAGTTAACTTCATACACTACCAGGAGTTTATCTTTCAACATCTCTTAGCTTTGTCCCAGGAGAGAATAGCTAATTATATTTGCTGCCATCAGTTTAACCTTTAGATTGTGGTCAGTGCTCTGTTTTCCCCAAGGTCCGTGATTAATTCATCAGGAAGAAGCAGACCGAGGATCACTTGGTAAAATGTCAGTGTTTGTTTGTTCTTCTCTGCCTGTGATACTGAGGACAGAAACCAGAGCCTAGCGCATGCTAGACCAACACCATTCTACCACTGCCCTGTGTCTGAAAGTGTTATGTAGTCCCTGTAAGAAACTGGATCTTCGAGCCGGGCGTTGGTGGTGCACGCCTTTAATCCCAGCACTCAGGAGGCAGAGGCAGGCAGATCTCTGTGAGTTCGAGGCCAGCCTGGTCTACAGAGCGAGTTCCAGGACAGCCTCCAAAGCCACAGAGAAACCCTGTCTCGAAAAAAAAAAAAAAAAAAAAGAATCTGGATCTTCTCCCAATTCCCTAACTCTTTGCCAGGTCCAGCATTCCAGTCTGAAATCTAAACAACAGTATAGTGGGTAGGCCCATTCCCTGAGTAGAGAAAACTCAAGGATAGAGCTATGAAGAAATATTCATCCTGGCTTTAAAAAATTGTGGGGAATCAGAGGCAAACTACAGATATTCCAGTAAGACAATGGGTACAGCATACGGAGGCTGTGAAGCAGCCAAAAGGATGAATTAATTACACACAGCTGGGGTGGACAGGTCTCAATGGCGTAACACAGCCGAAAGCAGTGAAACAGTGAGGTGTGTTTTGAAACCCATTGAGTTACCTATGAAACAAAAATTAAAAAACCTACCCACTTCCTAAAGATGGAAGCAGACAGAAGGAACATTCCCCCAGAGGAAAGGTGAGAAGCAGAAACAGACATGAGAAACATACATGACCCAATAAAGACACTGATGCACACTGAGGAGTTTCATACTGCTGAACTTTGTACTCAGTAGAAGAAAATAATAAAAACCCAAAGAGACAGAAGCCTCAATTCCTGCTGCTGTCTCAAGAATACAGTTGTATTTCCCTCTTTACCATTGTCTCAGCCTCTACAGAGGTCTTTCTCTCTCTTGGTTATCTTAATCTTACTAATACTCTGGTGGTGTCTTAAGTTACTGCCTTATTCCAATCTGGAGAGAATGCCCAGTAAGTAGAGATGCCTGGTTCCATCCCCAGACCCCACATGGTAGAAAAAGCAAATAGCTCAACAAGCTGTCCTGACTTCCACACACACACTGTACCACACAAATTAAACACATTAAACTTCAACATACATAAATGACACCATATCCTGCTGGGAATGAGCAATTTCTATACTAACACTTGCCGGGAACAAGATGGCACCCAGCACTGGTAACCATGAGAAATCCTTACACATCAACTGAATTCTTTGTGAAGGAAACTGCACTCATCCTGCCTGCCATCCCCTTTCATTTATCTTTGGGTAGATAACTGAAATCGCACACCTTCCAGCAGTCAAGCCATGGCCCAAGTGGAACCATCATCATTACTCCAACAGAGTGGGAGAAAATACCACCACACCCATAAATTATGAGTCCTCATCCAGGGGCAAAGCCAAGAGACTGCAGGAGGATTGGCATGTGTCTCCACTATTTCCTTCTATGAACAGAAAATCCAAATTAACTGTTGCCTTTGGGGTGTTAGCACTTACTACTCCCTTGGGTGGGCTAGAAGGGCCAGGATACACTCTTTTTCTTGCCTTAAATCCCTCTAACTCATGGCCTAACAGAAACAACCTGAAGAAATATCTTTAACCTCTCTTGTTTTGTTCACCAGTTTGTTTATTAAATGTTTGCTGAATGTCAGTGCTATCTCGGAGGCTGAGATGGAGTGGTAGAAGAGTGGACTACGAAAAAAACATGGCAGCCCAGCATTGTCAGAAGACCAAGATTTACTTCAGTTCTGTTGTGTGCGGCCTCAAAGGGCACCTTCCCTCCTTACCTGTGTCCCGACTCTCCCAAGAAGAAATAATGAAGTCTTCTCACTTTCAAGGCATCAGGACAGGACTCAACCACATAAATTACTTCTGTCAAGTTTCCTCTATAAAAGCCCACTGTGAGATTAATGGCTGTCACTGAGCCAACATGCAAAGCACACATTCACCACACCGAACAGAAACTGTCACACATTGGCTCCTTCAACCACACTTGCGCAAGCTTACTTGCAAAAGCAGAGTAAGTGCAAGTGTGTAAGCATGAAGAGCGAAGCAGCAGAAAGCAGCAGGCTCCCTCGGCCGCTTCCACGCCTTGTAGTCAGGTCTTCCCGCAGCAAGCAGACTTTTAGAACAAAACTTCACACACCAAGAGCTACCGGTAGGACAGAACGCGCACCATGACAGGATGCACGGGACACACGTTATGTCACGTATTCTCTGTTTCACGCCAGGACACAGAAAAGAACCTCACCAAAATACTACATGCAGTGCCTCCTCACATTGGATCAGAATGTAAAACAGAAATGCAGCAGAATGTTTTTTTTTATTTTAATTGTGATTTATTTTATTTCAATTCTTAAATGACACATAATAATAATTGTACACACTTGTGGGGTACAGCATATTTCAACGCAGGTCAATGATCAATCAGAGGGGTCAGTATATCCATCCTGTCAGGCATTTGGAAACACCCATAGTTCTTTCTTCTAGCTATTTTGAAATTCACAGTAAATTGGCAGTCATACAGTAATTACTGACCATTGTTGTCACCCCATTGAGCTACAGAGCACTCCAGGCAAGCCATCAACCAATCTCTACCATCCCATTACTCTCCTGGACTCTGTACCTACTGTACTTCTCCCTGTAACTATGGCACAAACTTGTGTAGCTTCCAAGCATGAGTGAGAACTGACGTGTGTGTTTTTCTGTCTAGTTGATCTCCACGTAACAGTCACTGGACATGGCAGGGTTTCATTCTTCCTCGTAGAGGAATAGTTTTCCATATATCTTTGACAGAGATGGCAGAGGTGGGGATGGGGGAGCCAGTGTGAGTATCTACAAACAAACTCTATTGCCCAGATCTAGGCTTTAAATGGCTACCATAATACTTACTTAAATAGTCTCCAAGAAAGACCAGCAGGGAAATGCCAGCCCCCAGGAGGCTATGCTAACTAATCCTGCATAGCATAGCAGGTTTGGCATTCGGTAAACACACATTTGTGAACAAAGATTTCCTGGGCCAGTTCCCTGTTTTTAAGACCTGTGGGGGAGCCAAGGCTCTGGACAAAGTGGCACCCGTCAGTATATGGTCTTCTTACAGATCCACCGCAAAGGAGCTTCACAACTAGAGGCTTGAAGGCCAGTTCTGTGGATGGTACCACATGTCTGGATCAAGCTGTTAGAAAGAATCCTGTAAGAAATCACAGGTGTCAGTCACTTTGGGTAACATGCACAGGAGAAGACTTGAAAGGCGTGAAGGAAAAAAAGGTGAGTCTGTCTCTTTCTCAGATCCCGCAGGTCCCAAAACAGCAGGAGAATCTCCGGCTTTATCCGCCCCTTGAAAACATCACCACAGTTTTGACCTTCCCACGATCACCCCTGCTCATCCCTGTCACACTTTGCTGGCTGTGGTGTTTCCTTCTGTTTCCTAAGCCCCAGGTTTTTTCTGCCTCCTTCTGTTTTCATTGCCCTCGCTCTTCAAAAACTTTACCTTAAGCTTAGAACCGGGCCATCTTCCCACCTCCAGCCATCAGTTTTCCTCAAGCCGATCCAGTAAAAGTCGTTGTCCAAGTACTCTTGGAAGGGAATCTGAGAGAGAGATGGAAGATGCTGAATATAGATAACAAAGACTCAGAACACCAGAGACCCCTAAGTGAATCATGTGATCATCCACTCTCTCAGAAGTGGGTGAGGGCTGGATACCTATGTACCCTGAAATTCATGTTTGAAACCCTAACTTCCAGTGTGGTGGCATCTGAGTTAATTAGGCTTATGTGAGGCCATAGGATGGTGCTCCCATGACAGGATTCTGTGACCTTAAAATAAGAAGAGACCAGATAAAGACACCTTTGGATGAGTTGAAAGGGGCTCTCAGCAGGGACCTTGAGTTTTAGAGCCATCCTAGTCTCCAAAGCTGTTGAGTGTCTGGTGATTAAGCCATCCTCTCTATAGGACAACTGTTCCCCCTTTTAGCTTCTAATTCAAATGGGGTTCTGGGTGCTAACAGAAATCTGCCTACTGCAAGGAGCTACTTTCCCAGCACTGACCTTTAGTTTATAAGCACATTCTTACAGCACAGCAGATAAGATGCTGTCGCAGCTCCGCCTTCCATTGCTACTTCCTTTCTGATTAGATGGAGCCTGATAGTATCCAACAAAGCTCAACCCTGCTGCAGAAGTGCTTACTCCTCCAGCGCACCACCCAAGATCAAACTCAAAGCAATACGCTTGTGTGTTTCCCCACTAGACTTGTTTTCCAAATCCTTAATCTTGTATTTAACAAGGGGGGTGGGAGTACGGTAAGGCAATGAGCCTAAAGGTAGAGTTAAACTAAGTATACCAGTCTCTATGCTGTGCTGCCTACCGGGACCAAGATAGATGATGCTTTGCTCTGTACAGGGTACAATGAAGTGAAGATGTTTGTGTCCTAAGGGAACTGCCCAATACATTAAACAGAACAAAGAATACATCCAAGAAGCTTACTCTTTCTGGAAGCTTGAGCATTCACATAATGAATAATTGCATTTTTTTTTTTTGAGGCAGGGTTTCTCTGTGGCTTTGGAGGCTGTCCTGGAACTAGCTATTGTAGACCAGGCTGGTCTCGAACTCACAGAGATCCACCTGCCTCTGCCTCCCAAGTGCTGGGGTTAAAGGCGTGAGCTACCAACGCCCGGCGAATAACTGCATTTTTAATAATTTCCAGTGACAGCTTAATTAATTGAATTTGGCCTGAATTACTTGAACCATTTTTTTTATAGTTTTTTTTAGATTAGCTTTTGTTGAACAATTTCTTTTGGAGAAAATAGTCTTTTATTAGGAATCAAGAAAGCCCAGTGAAATTCCAACTCTATTGTCATGGAGATGCTACTAGATGTCCCATTTGGTGGTCATTGTTGTCCTATTCCTGGAAAGTGGTAGCTGAAGAGAAGGAATGTATGGGCTTTGCTTTGTAGGCCTTCCTTTGCCTACCTGCAGCCTGATGGGCAGAAAGAAAGGGCTCTTCTACTCATCGTCAAGTGAAGAATAAACTCTCTGCACACCCAGGGACAGCACAGTCTGAAAACGCTTCTGTGTTGTTTACTAAGGCCAGAATCTCTATTTTCTCTTCACTGGGCTTCAGGTTTCAAAACCTAAAATCTTTGCTACACACACAAAGGCTTGCATGATCTGGACCCTGCCAACCACCTCTCCACCAACTTCCAGCTCCATCAACCTTCTTGCATTAGGTCTTTCCACGTCTCCCTGTAACACCTTCCCCCGAGATTTTCACATGGCTGTTGCCTCGCAGGCCTCAGTCCGGCTTCGGAGGGGTTCATGTAAAAAAGCGCCCACAGTCACTGTTCCATCAAACTGCACATTGACTCCAAAGCTCAAATTAGCATATTTGTTTACAATTTTGTCTCTTCTCACTAAAATAGAATTACTGTAATGGCAAGTACTCTTGCTTACAATCTTCCCAACACCTTAAGGAGATATAGGAAACCCTATCCAAGGGGTATTTCTGGAGCAGTAGACTGAAGTCAGGTATCATGCTAGAAGGGGCAAAGCTTCCTAAACCTAAGTCTCCGCCCCTTTTGCCTCACCTGAGTCCTAAGTGTGCACGCTGGGGTGGCAAGGAAGAGCAAAGAAGAGAGAGACTGGGATGGAGTGGCATTGCAGTGTTCGGGGTGGCTTGGAACGTCACGCATTTCTAAGCAAACTTGCTTAAACAGATTGCTTAAATTAAAAGAGAAATGTGTGCTGTGTACTTTCTGGGCTGGAGCTGGGGTTCAGTGGTAAAGTGATTATCTAGTATATACAAGGTTCTGGATCAGTCTCCCTCACCACAGGAGAGAAGAAAAATATTCATTGCATTTTCTCATCATCACCAGAGGATGAACTGGAGCTGAAAATGGGGAGACCTCGGGCAGGGCACTTTCAGTAATTGCCTATTTGTGCTGGTTTAATGTCCACAAGACCCACACGATGCTAAGCCATTTGAACAGCCCTTTCTACCTAAGATGAACCCAGATAATCAAATTTTTCACAAGGACATCCCATGTGGAAAATGCCTTCAAAGACAGATAAAATTATTTTTCTCTCTTCTGGCTGGCTGATTGGAGTTTATGGTTGTGTGTATACATGTTTGACTGAAGAAACAGCATGAAAATACACCCAAGGGTTATACTCAGGACTTGCACTCCCCCCGCCAAAGAGACTACGAAATGGAACACTTGAGTATTGTGTCTTTTCTGGAACCATTAATGTTTGCTTGTATTCCAGAAAAGGAAACAAATGTAAAACCTAAAGGTAACAAAGACATTTGTTACTTTTAAAACTGTAATTAAAAAATAAACCAAATGCACAGGGCTGGAGGGCTCAGGGCTTAAGAGCACTGACTACTCTTCCAGAAGACCGGGGTTCAACTCCCAACACCCACATGACAGTTCTCAACTGTCTGTAACTCCAGTTCCAGGGGATCTGACACCTTCACACCAGTGCACATAAAATAAAGTTAAATAAATTTTTTAAAAAACAAATGCACATTTTTTTCCTTCCTTCTCCTCTTTTTCTAAGGTCAGTGTTTAAACTTGAAACCATGCATGATGGCACATACCTTTAATCCCAGCACTTGGGAAGGCAGAGGTAGGCAGATCTCCATGAGTTTGAGGCCAGCCTGGTCTACCTAGTGAGTTCCAGAACAGCCAGGACTACACAAAGAAAACTTATCTCAAAACCAACCAAACAAACCCCAAAAACATATATATTGCATATATAATCTATTCTATACTATATATAAATATGTGTGTATATGTACATACAACTTAGAGGTAATATTTTTTAATTAAAATAAAACTACAATTAAGGTACAAAGTATACTTTTTAAGTTTCCAAATTAAGGTGGTCCATGGAAGGCATCTGAGCTTTTAAAGACACATTGAGGAAAGTCAGTCACGCATCAGAACTATTAAATAGTCAGATGTTTTGATTAATCAACGAGGTCTTAATGACTAAAACATAAACTGTTGCCCAAAGAAAAATAATTGATGTCATGGCTCATAATAATTAAACACAGGTAGAATTTTATCTTAAGAATTTGAAAATATTTATGCAATATTAGAACAAAACAGAATCTTAAACAATCTCTAAAAATAAAATACTCCATGAATCTGAACAATTACCTAGGATAATTTAGCACTAGATGGAAGAAAATAAATGAACAACTCAGCGGAAAACACAAGGTGTCAATACACCCTAGAATCACAGGATGTGTGCTTTTAAACAGAAGGTCTCCTGTTTTCAAAAACATAAGAAAAGAATCTTTTCTTCATTTGAGATGAAGAAAGCCATGTGAGGTGCTTAACTATTGCATAGAAGTATTAACTTGAAAAATAGTTTCCCCGAAGTCTAACAACAATTGGATTTGCTACTTTAATAACCCTTTAACAAGTTCAAAAGGATACTGAGGGGTCACAACAGAAAACCTGCATTGGTCACACAATTTGAAATCATTGTAACCAGGCTCAGGGCACAGCGGAAAAGAAAATAGTTAACTAAGTTTGATTTAATAGTGACCATGTAGCCTTAGTTTACAGCAAATTAATTCTGGAGGAGTATTTTACACCAAGGGAAGGCCAGTTAAAGCTTTCACATTTTCATTGCATTTATTTACTTAAATGGTTAGGGGAAGTGGGACAAGTCACAGCACACGTGTGTGGAGGCCAGAGGACTACATGCAGGCAGTCCTGTCCCAGGGATCGAACTTGGGTTGTCAAGTTTGATGGCAAGCACCTTTACTCTCTGAACCATCTGGCTGCCCTGAAAGTCCTCAGTTTTAATAGACTTGTGTATCTGCAGAGTCTCACTCTGTAGTCCAGGATAGCCCAGAGCACACGCTTCTCCTGCCTGAACCTACTGAGCGGTGGAATTACAGCATATGCCTGCCACTAGGCCCAGGTTTTTGTTTTTAAATATGGTCTTTTGGGAGTTTTCCAGACCCGAGTATGAAACTGGGAATATTGCTCAGACCATAATATAGTGAGCAAGTCCTGCCTTGAGAACAAAAGAGTAACCACAGTGGGATAAGCTCGCTACCAATCCATACAGATCCTTTAGTTATAGAATTTGACAAAGTGTGGAGAAAGAAAAAAGCAAGAATATACAAGAATATGGAAAGTAACTTATTAGTAACTGTTATTAAATCCATCAGGAGCACTCCACAGCCTCCAACACTGACTGGAACCCAGGGCTCTGGGGTTGAGAGAAAATGGTCTCATTTTGGAAATGCAGTCGACTTAACTCTGTTGAGTGTTCTCCACAGTGAGTACAAGATCCAGGAAATATAAGGAGAGAAAGACAAAATCCCTCAAGAACCCTCTCTTCCTCTGGGCAGAAAGACAGAGATAAGATACGCCTCATCTTATCGCTTCTCAAAACTCCATGGCGCACGGTGTAATTTACATTGCTGCTAGAGCGAATTCTCTGTGGCCAGTTCTCAGCTGCTGTGTTGTGACTCACTGATGCTGTATCTGCAGTCTGGAGGCAAACTTTCCAAGCTAATGGCTCACTTTTGCTATTGACTTCAGTCAGACCCTCAAAACAGCTATATCAAAATGAAACCAGCTGCTATGAAAGTTCTAGAAGCCAAGGTTATTCCTCCCCTGTGCAGTGAAGAGAACCCGGGTCTCTTCCACCTTGGCTTAGAGAAGGAACGAAGGGAAAATCAAGTCTGAGGAATGGTTTGGAGTTCAGATCCTTCCAGAATTTTAAGTGTCTAGGTGTTCTTTTGAGAGAAAGTAAGCTAAGTACCGCATCTTTTCTCAGAATAGAAACTGGCAAGCCAGGTGTGCAGTGGACTCCTTTAATCACAGTGGATTTAGTGGGTAGAGGGCTGAGTCCAGAAAATCATGAATTTCAACCCAGCCGGGGCTCCAAAACCCCCATCTCTCAATTGTTAATAAACTATTCTCTGTGATGGATTTTATTCCCCCCAAATTAAAACAAACAGCAATATCAATACAAAAATAAATAATCAAGAAATTAACAGTAAAAAACCAGATTCCTTACTTTCTTTTTCTATGTGAACAGTAATCAAGTCTGGGTAAGTTTGTGCCAGCATGTCACACTGCTAACATCCTCCAGGACCAGCAGAGGTACGGAGGGGGACCTTAGGAAACAGGATCTCCACAGTTTTCTCTCCTTCTTAACTCAACCTTCTGCACATTGTTCCCAGTTTAGAATTTACTGAATTACAATGACTAAAAAGAAGGCACTCAGCCAAAGACATGAAGTCCCTGTGCGTGGCCCTGTTGTCCTGTGGCGCCTCTCCTATCCCTCCCTCCATAGACATGAAGTCCCTGTGCATAGCCCTGTGTCCTGTGGCACCCCTATGCGTGGCCCTGTTGTCCTGTGGCACCTCTTCTCTCCTCTCCTCTCCTCTCCTCTCCTCCCCTCCCCTCTCCTCTCCTCTCCTCTCCTCTCCTCTCCTCCTCTCCCTCCATAGAAACCACCGCTTCTTCCTTGGCCTGCGTGTTTCAGGGCCTACGGCCTTCTAACCAACTCTGTGTTTTAGGCCTAGTCCTTTGCTGCAATGCTTGCCACCTTCTCAACTTCAACACACACACACACACACACACACACACACACACACACACGCGCGCGCGCGCGCGAGCACACACACACACACACAATTGCTTGAATATCACACAAACAAATAAATATTTTTTAAAAACATACACAAATACCAATCAATAAATGTTTGACTGCACACACATACACACAGGAGCTACAAGACCGAGGCAGGACCACAGTTGAAAGCCTGGACTGCATAGCAAGATCTCAACTAACAGGAGGGAAAGAATGGGTGAGGGCAGAGGGAGGAAGAGGGAGGGGAAATAGTTCTATATTTTCTACACGTTTTTATTTACCACTTCCTTGTCGTCCAGAAATGTAAGGAGATGTGAGCCTTTGTACGCACAGAATTCCAGACTAGAATTCCAATCCTTTTTCTCCATTGAGAAATAGAAACAGTGGCTACCATTCCTCATCCAGAGGATGGGACATTGGGCACACACAGAGTCCTTGGAGCCTAGAAGGAAAAAGACACAATTCACATCTTTGTGAACGAACCAAATGGTCCTGGAAAGTAAAAGGGATGTATAAGAAAACACGGTATCCCCAGTGTCTATCTTGCCCTACCCCTTTTCAAACTAAGGTTTAGGGAAATCCTAACCTAAACACATGGCCTCAGACTGAACGGTACAATATCCAATTCATCACTTCTTGTGTACACATCACTTAGCAAGCTTGGATTCTGCCTGAGATCTGTGGGGTGCACATCATACTGAAAATCATCTGTACACATGTGACATATACAAACGCTGCATAAAGAATGCATTCATCTGCATGGTACACATCTAAGTACTGCCTGTACACCCCCAATGTAGAGCCACATGGGCTGAATCATGCAAGATGTCCAGCCTCAAGATAGCACGCCATGTGTGTACTGGAAAAGGAAACAAACCAGAAAGAACCAACAGATGTGGTCACCTGGAGTCAATAGAAACTGGAAAGAGTTTTTATACTCAGCAAAACTGACTTACCCGAATATAATTTCTTTTGACAGAAAAGCATATCAGACACTAAAGTGAAAAGTGCTAGAATTCTCCTTGATGGGTTCTTCTAGAAGATACAATCCTTGTTTCTTTAAAGTGCTTGAAATGAGCGGGTACTGTGAAAACATCTGGGGGGACTTCAAATAAGGCTCCACAGTCTGCTGGTTTTTCTCCTTCCATGAGGCACATTTGTATAAAATCATCACAAGTCATTCTACCACAGGACCACAGGAGCACATACATACATACATACAACTGCAATACAGACTACATATTCCAGATTGGGAACTAGAAAGTGGAGAAAGTTTTCCTCATCACATAAGGATTAGATAACTACCATTGGGAAGGCTGCACGTAGTATCAGGATTGGGTTCTGCAGACTGAGGTGTTACCTTTTCCAGACAACTGTGGCATAATCCACCTGAATCAGAAAGTCCCAGCTTCCTGGGAGTTTCTCTGCAGAAAGTTGGGGCTTGTATATGATGTAGGGAGTAGGGTTGAATCCTTGGAATTCTCTACTAAAGTCTGTAAAACCCTGCCACTGACAGTCATCTTGCTTTATAACATAAAATGAAAGGTTGATCTGGGGTGAAGTCAGCACTTACCACAGCCCAGGATCTGTTGACACATCAGTAAACCCATGAGAATCACAGTCAAAAGCCCCAAAGCCACAGTCACAAGGCAGGAAAGACGGAGCCTGTGGAGGGCAGCTGCGGGGACACAAGCCAAAGCAAGATCAGAGTCAGACATAGAAGCTCAGGCAAGAGCCTCTGCTATCTTACATCAATTCTGCCTGGAGGGACAGAGATCCAGGCCACACAGCTTCCTTTCCTCCTTCTGTCTGGCACTGGCTCTCACGTTAAGGAAACTCTTGCCTTTGTGATTGTGGCTTGTATGCTCGCACACTGGGACAGTGAGCTAATGGGCAGACAGCCTCTGCCTTTTGGGAACTGAAGGACAACTTGGCATTATTTACCAGAATTGCAAGCATTTGCCTTTTGGCCCCCACAATTTCTCCTCCAGAAACATTTTTCTATAGATATTCACACATGTGCAAAACATCAAACTTATAAGGCAGCAACATCTACAGGAAGAAAATGCTAAATGTCTAAATGTCTCAGCTAAAAATCTAAATTTTTATCAATAAAAGACTAGCCAGATCATTGTGGTGATGTATTGTTTATGATTTAATAAAGCTTGCTTGAAGATAGTTGTAGCCTTTTTTACTAGACAAAAGGGAGAATTGTGATATATTGTTTATGATCTAATAAACCCACTGAAAAACAGAATGCAAAGCCAGCCACACTAGACAGTCATAGAAGCTGGGCAGTGGTGGCTACACCTTTAATGCCAGGACTCAGGAGACAGAGGCAGATGGATCTCTGTGAGTTCAAGGCCACCCAGGGCTACATGAGAGTGAATCAATCTAAAAGAGTAACAGAGCTCATGCCTTTAATCCCAGCACTAGAGAGGTATATAAGGAAGAAGCAAAAGATCTCAGAGGAGATTTAGTCTCCAGCCACGTTGAGGACAGGAAGCCATTCAGTCCTCAGCCACACTGAGGATTCATGGAGCCAGGATCACCCTTTCAGTCTGAGGTAGAGGTGAGAGCTAGTGGCTGGCTGCTTTGCTTTTCTGATCTTCAGACAAGCTTTATTAAATCATAAACAATATATTACCACAATTTACATCCATGAAATATGTAGTATCTGAAGGAGGATTTTTTAAAAGCCAATATGAAGTGATTTTTATGCATATATAACTAAGAGAAAGACATATTCCTCAGCAAAGGGGACACTTGATATCGCTGAAGTCTCTCCAAGATCACTTCTCTGCCTTTCAGCTACGCTCAAACATGGCATTCCGCAGGGTTTCCTCTTCAAAGAGGAAATGGGTGGCTAAGAGAAGAAACAGAAGTGAGATACTTTCAAGTGTTTTCCTTTGTATCCTCCAAATTTTAAATAAATACAAAATTTAAAGTGAAGCAAAATAACCTTCACTGCAGGAGCAGATGACAAAATCCACCTTGTCTTGCCTGTAACTTTTTGGGAGCATATTAAATATAGGCTGGCCTTGTGTTTAAGGATGGAGCATTGTGTCATACTGTATGGTATATATCCTCTAAGAATACTGTATTTCTAGTTTGAAAATGAATTTTCTCAGATTTTTGTTTAGAAATCACAGGTGTCTTACAGTTTGATGGTATGGAAAATACGTGTAAAGAAAAAATTGTAAAGTTTTTTATTCTCTTTAGTTATTTTTAAATAAAACAATCATTTTGAATCTTGACGTGGTAGCCCATGACTATAACTTGGAATGTAGAGGCAGAAGAATCAGTAGTTCAAAGTCATCCTTACTATGAAGCAAATTTTGGGCCACTTTGGTCTATGTGAGACTCTGTCTCAGAAAGAGAGAAAGAGAGAAAAGAAAGAAGGAAGAAGGAAAGGAAAGATAATTTAATTTTCCTAATTCAGTTTCATGTACCTACTCAAATTTTAGATAAATTACTCTTATACATTTGTATCTATGAAAATGTATTGATTTCTTAAAGTAATTTCATAATGAAAAAGGCATCATAAGAGTTCAGCATGACAAATACTTTGACTCATGAATCCCAAATCACTAGCATTATACTACAACAAATAGATTTCACCTTTAATCACAGCACTCAGGAGGCAGGAGCAGGTGGATCTCTGTGAGTTCGAGGACAGCTTGGTCTACATAGTGAGTTCTAGGACATTCAGGGTTATATAGAGAGACCCTGTCTCAAATAAATAAAGATAAATAAATAACAAATACACCAGATTTGTGGCATAGATGACCTCTTTAAAAAATATGGTTATCCCATCCCCCACCCCACACCAGAGACAAGTTTTCTCTGTGTTGCCCTGGCTATAGTGGAACTTGCTCCATAGACCAGGATAGCCTTAAACTCATAGAGATTCTTTTGCCTCTGCTGGGATTAAAGGTGTATACCACCAAACCCACCTGCATAGATGACTTATTAATGAAATAAAAAAACCTTCATTTGTAGTTGTTTGCTAAATGAAAACAAAAAAGGCATCAAATTATAGTTATATTTGAATAGCCACCATCCAATTTAAGGAAATAAGCCAAAATTTTTTACTTATTTCATGTGTATATTAGTTCCAACTATTAATTATTAGGTTCTTTGGGGGCAGTTTCAAGACAGGCTTTCTCTGTTCCTGTCCTGGAACTCATTCTGTAAACCAGGCTGGCCTCGAACTCAGAGATTGGCCTGCATCTGCCTGCCAAGTGCTGGGATTAAAGGTGTGCCACCACCACCTGGCTTAGGTTCTTTACTTAGCATATAATATTGTATATAGCATATAATATTAAGTTCTATACTTCAAATATACATTCCTTTTGATTAATAGTTCTATTCCTTACAAATTAGAGTAGATTTAATAAAGAAAAACATCACACATATAAAGATGCATAGTTCTATTTAATTTATAGAAACAAAAATACCCATGTTTTAGAAAACATGCCAATTTTTTCAAAAGGCAGCATTAAAAATTATAACCAAAAAGGGAAAACATGATAACAAGATTATATAACAAACAGAGAAAGTCTACAAAACTACAAAAGAGAATATATATATCTTCTGGGAGTCACCTGCTTGAGTTATAAAATCAAGTATTAATTTTGGCATTTACATTGTTCCCTGTCTCAGATGGGAATCTGCATAGAAAATTGGTTTTGTGTGTGTTACTGTTGGTGTCCCCTGACCCCCCCCCCAGATCACATGGCCCAAGATCTACAGAGTTCAGCTTCTTTTTTTTTTTTTTTTTTTTGGTTTTTCGAGACAGAGTTTCTCTGTGGCTTTGGAGGCTGTCCTGGAACTCACTTTGTAGAACAGGCTGGCCTCGAACTCACAGAGATCTGCCTGCCTCTGCCTCCTGAGTGCTGGGATTAAAGGCATGCGCCACCAACGCCCGGCTAGAGTTCAGCATCTTTATTCCCCATCACCATTCAGTTGCAATATGAGAGGGGGGTGGACCCGTTTCTCATCCTAAGAAGTCTTGCCATTACCCCTCAATAAAGCTGTTACTTTCTTTATGTCATGGCTAGAGAAGCAGAGATGGTAGGGTTTCAACAGTCAAAGTCAACTGCTCAAAGCCTGGCTGCAGACAAAATTCTCTCACAAAGCTCTTATATAGATCGCGATCAACAAAGAATAGCACACTTGTCTAGATGTATAAAATCCTTAAGAATAAAGAAAACTTAAAACAACAACAACAAAAAGATGCCATAGCCATTGCTTGGCATTAGCTGGGATCTCAGAAGAGCCTAGAAAAGACTTATCTGAGACCCAGATCACGGGTGTACTCTACGCCGAAAGTCCATATCCCCCATCAGCACTGCAAACTGAACCCAAAAGCATTGCCTCAAATTGCCCTCAATTTTCTGCACCCTGTCCTCCCAGTCTTCAGGGCTGGTGTGGTTAACTCACCTCTGAGCTTCGATCCAGAGCCTTCTTGGACTTGAGGTGTGGCAGGCAGTTCTAATGTGCAATAAATATCTCTGTCAGCCATCTCTGCCAAACGCCTGTCACACTCGGTGGAGAGCGTTGAATGAGAGCAGGGTGAGAATGAGCACCAGTGAGGAAATGGCCCATCCTGTAAAATAGCAGCAGGAAACTTGACAGAAGCAGAAGCAACTTTCTCAGGAAATGATTGAAGTTGTAGGGTTGCTGTAGAGATAAATGTTCGAATTGCTCTTTAAACTCAACGGCAGCACTCCTTAGGTGCTCATCAGGCACATGCTGGCTCCCAGTCACATCTTGCTCTGCTGGGATAACAGTGCTTAAGTCCCTGGATTCTACACTAAAAGTGAGGGGCTCCTAGACCTCATCCCAGAGACTCCTTCCCTTCTAAAAGAGACAGACACCAACTAGAGCTGAGTTTATCATTTCCTGGGCCTCCTGAGTCGGGATGAATTCCTGTGTGATGGGCTGCTGGCCGCATGGGCCCGGATCATGCTAGAAACTGACTCCTGTGTATTTGGCAAGTGTGGCACAACGCTGTCTAGCCCAGAACATTCCTCCAGGCGTGTGCTCACCTTTATTCCACACAGTGGCAAATTCACCATGACCTTTTCTCATTGCTTTATCTTTCTGTGCAAAGACAGTTACAAAGAGAAACAAAACTAATGAGGTGTCAGCAATTGATTTCTAGTAGGAGAAAATAAAAATAATTTTAAAAAGCTAATAAAAATCCAAGTAAGAAAAACATAGGAATTGAAAATCAGATAAGATCATTGTCCTGGCTAGTTTACTGTCAACTTGACACAAGTTAGAGTCACTTAGAAAAAGGAGATTCTCAACTGAGAAACTTCCTCCATAAGATTGGCCTATAGACAAGATTGTAGGTGTTTTCTTAGTTAGTGACGGATATAGAAGGACCCAGCCCATTGTGAGTGGTGCCACTGGAATGGTGGTCCTGGGCTGTATAAGAAAGCAGGTTTCATATGGTGGCGCACGCCTTTAATCCCAGGCAGAGGCAGGCGGATCTCTGTGAGTTTGAGGCCAGCCTGGTCTACAGAGTGAGTTCCAGAACAGCCAAGGCTATGCAGAGAAACCCTGCCTAGAAAACAAAAAAAAAAAGCAGGCTGAGCAAGGTAGGGGAAGCAAGGTAGTAAGCAGCATTCCTCTGCCTCAGCTCCTGCATCGAGGTACCTGCCCTGTTGGAGTTCCCACCCTGACTTCCTTCAGTGATAGACATGGAAGTGAGATGAAGTAAACCCTTTCCTCCCCAAGCAGCTTCAGGGCATAATGTTTTATCACAGCAATAGAAATCTAAGACAGTCACTAAGTTAGAGTGAATAAAGACAGAAGAGGGAAAACAAAAGAGAAACAGGGACTGATAATGAAAACTAATAAAGTTGTTCCCAGTCACGACAGAGGGGTCCTGGACTGTCCTCCAACCAAGAAAATGAACACCTACAAATACACACACACACACACACACACACACACACACACACACACATAATGCTGTGGTCTTTGAGAAAAGAGAGTTATTAAGGTGAACACAGCTCTCCAGGCTGGCTTCCCCCCCAGGACCTGGTCTGACTCAGAACAGGAAAAAGAATTCTAAACAGGGAAGCAGTCACACTCACCAAGCAGGAGTCAGATACTGGCACTGGGAGCTGCTAATGTGGCTGGAATTTGCACAGCCCAGTAACTGATAAGAGCTATGCAGAGGGAAGTACCTGAAAAACAGAGGAATTCACCACAGGTCTGTGACTAAAAGCTAGGATGCTCGGTCATGAACTAAAACTGCATCTCATTAACACGGCCCCCTGCAGAGCCAAAGATGAATGTCAGACCAGAGATCATGTAGTGTTTGCCAGTCATACTAACACACACACACACACACACACACACACACACACGCACGCACACACGCACGCACGCACGCACGCACGCACACACCTAGGAAAACACCAAGAATCCACCAGTGACTTAGCCACAGACTTGAGGACAAATACTGATACCCTTAAAAGGAAAAAATGTCAAATATAGTTTATACTTGTAGTCAAATATAAATCAGCATTAAAGGGGAAGGAAATTCCATCGTGTGCTGTGACTGGTGTGGCGGTGCCTGCCTGCAATTCCAGCCCTGAGAAGGCAGAGGCAGGAAGATCATGAGTTCAAGGCCATCCTGGCTACACAGTCAGTTTCTGTTGCTACTTGAGTGTGTTAGTTGGTTTTCATACTGCTATGATTTTCCTGTTGCTATGACAGAAGCTTGTTCATGGAGGAGAGTTCCTTTGGGCTCACAGATGAGGAATGTGGTCCCTCATGGTGGAAAGGTCTGACAACAGGAGCTTGAGACAACTGAATCTACAAGTTGGGACAGAGAGAGAGAGAGAGAGAGAGAGAGAGAGAGAGAGAGAGAGAGAGAGAGAGAGAGAGAGAGAGAGAGAGAGAGAGAAATGCTGGTGCTCAGCTCATGTTTTTCTTTTTGAGTTGAGGACCCATTTTGGGTGGATCCTTCCACCTCAGTAACTCAATTTAGAAACTCCCTCATAGACATCACAGGAGGTTTGTCTCCTAGGTGACAATCAGCAGTGGTTCTCAACCCTCCAAAAGCTGAGATGCTTTAATCGAGTTTCTCATGCTGTGGTGACCCCGTTGCTATTTCATAACTGCAACTTTGCTACTATTATGAATTGTAATGTAAATATCTGATATGTGAACTCTGTGGTGTCACACCCACAGGGTAAGAACTACCGCTCTAGATCCTGTCAAGTTGACACCATCACAAGCTCTCCCCTTGCCAAGTTGACACTCAGGCATAACACGTTTAAACCTTCAGTTGAGGAAAAGGCATTAAGTAGAGATAATGAAACAGAGACTGGAGTCAGCAAACAAGAACTGTAATAATTACAAAAATATGTTCAAACACTTAGGAAAAAGGTAGAGTCAGAGTGAATAAAGAATCAATCAAATCTTTAAAAAATAATTGGATATGGTTAATAGCAAATTGGAACATTCAGAAGGAAAGGTCAATGAATATGAGGAACCTGTGGATAATACCAAGGTTGGGGAGTTGGCTTGCTTAGTAAAGTGCTTGTATGCATAAGGACCTGGGTTCAGATTTGGCGCCCACATAAAAAGCCAGTCATGGTGACATGCATCTGCAAAACCACACAGGACAGTGGAGACAGGAGGATCCCCAGGGCTCACTGGCCAACCAGTCTAGCCAAATTGATGAGCTACAGGTTCAGTGAGAGACTTGGTCTCAAAATAATTTATGATGATGATTTCAGAAGACACCTAACATCAACTTCTGGTCTGTACATGCACACACACACACACACACACACACACACACACACACACATTCACGGGGCAGAAGGGGCTGGTAATGTGTGATGAATGTCACCAGGTGAAAAAAATAGATTGTAAAAAATTTACTGTACAGGGCTAAGGAGATTGCTAAATGGTAAGAGCACTTTTCATACAAGCATGATTTGACATGAGTTCAAATCCTTATCATTCATGGAAGATTTTGAGCAAAAGCAGCATGCACCTATGACCACAGTATTGTGTTGAGCGGAGACACAAGACTTGCTGGAGCTTGTTGGCTGCCAGCCAAGCTACAGATTCAGAGAGAGACCCTCTCCAAGGCATAAAGTGAAGAGTGACAGAGCAGGACACTCAGCATGCTCCTCTGGCTTCCGTGTGCATGCATCCTTGCACACGCACTACACACACACATGCAGAAAAAGAAATATGTGTAAGTCAATGAATGGTCAACAAAAGAAGCCCAAAATGGTGTATTAGTTTCCTGCCGCTGCTTTAACAAACCACCTGTGACACACTTAAGAGCCACAGCATGTGTTTTCTCAATGGTCCAGGGGGTCAGAAGTCTACAAACACTGAGCTGCTTTCCCTGTGGAAGCAACCAGCTTCCTTCACTGCTCCAGTGCCTCGAGCTGCCTGCCTTCCTTGATTTACGGCTTAGTCCACCAGTGTCAAAGTATCAGTTCTATTTCTGCTTCTGCAGAGGCATCTCCTTTTTCTCACCGACTCACTGGGTCCCCCATGAGTACATTGGAGGCACAAGAGCAGTCCAACATAATCCCTCATATCAAGATTCTTACAATCTAGCCAGGCGGTGGTGGCGCACGCCTTTAATCCCAGCACTCGGGAGGCAGAGGCAGGTGGATCTCTGTGAGTTTGAGGCCAGGCTGGACCGACAGCCTCCAAAACAATACAGAGAAACCCTGTCTTGTAAAAACCAAAAAAAAAAAAAAAAAAAAAAAAAAACAACATTCTTACAATCTCGCCTATAATCCTAGTACTTGTAAAGCTGATGTCAGAGGATCACAAGTTTCAGGTCAGTCTGGGGGCATAATGATGACATACATGCACACATGCATGCATGCATACATACATACATACATACAGATATACATGTCAATCACAACTACTGAGTCCCTTTGGCTTCATAAGGTCATGAGAGCTATTACTAAGCCTGTCACAAATGGTCAGATTAACATAAAACAAAATTGACCTATACCAAGATAACATTTCATGATTACATTAGTCATGCCACTGAGACTATCAAACAACTACAAGTGAACACATGTATACAATTCAGAATTTTAAATCATTAGAAACAAAAGCTTAGTTAATTAAAGTGAAATCAACAAATACATAATCATGTAAAAAAACTTAATCTCTCTCTTCAGTAACTGGTAAAACTACAAAGCAAAAAAATCAGTAGTAATTTTAGAAAACTATTTCTCACTAATGATTTTCTTTTCTTTTTGTGTGTGTGTGTTTCTTTAAGGCAGAGTTTCTCTGTGTATCAGCCTTGGCTGTTCAGGAACTTGCTTTGTAGACCAGGCTGGCCTGGAACTCAAAGATCTGCCTATCTCTGCCCCCTGAGTGCTGGTATTAAAAGCATTTGCCACCACGCCTGGCCCAATGATTTTTCTTCTTGATGAGGAAAATGCTGCCCAGATAAAAGGCATCAGATGTTGGCTCAATTCAACACAACAGCACCGCTCTAAAGTCAACAGAGATATACCCACTATTGGCTTAACCTAAGAAATTAATGATGGCTTAATATCTTCTCTCTCTAAAAGACATCTAGGAGGGACC